CCAGAAGGAACCAACCCTGCTGACACCTTGATTTCAGGCTCTGGCTTCCAGAACTAGGAGACGAATCAGCTCTGTTGTTTTAAGTCACACAGTTTGTGGTACTGTGTTATGGCAGCTCTAGGAAACTAATACGGGTGACTTGCCCAGTAACACACAGTGGACACATGCCAAAGAATGGACTGGAATATGCTGCATCATGTTTAATTGTATCATCATCACATAGGACTAGGCATAGTTTCTCGTGTTAGATTGCCTGGGCTCAAGCCCAGGCTCCACTAGTCACCCCATTACCTTGGTAAATTACTTAACTTCTCTGCAGCCCAGCTCATCCATTTGTAAAAACACAGACACTTAGAGCACCTATCTCATAGAGGTGTGAGGGTTACATGTACAAACTTGTGAAACGGTGCCTGACACAGAGTAAATGCTCACTTCTGTGGTTATTGTTAGTATGTCTCCCTGGGCGATCGTGAGGTCTATGACAGGTCCCAGGAGCCTTGTTTTATTCATGTTTGTGTCCTCGGTGCTTACCATTGAGCCTGGCACAGAGAAGAGCTCAAAAGATGTTTGTTGAGTTGCATTGTAGTCAATTAATAATTCTATGTTTAGTTCAATGGGGTGGGATCCTGGGAGTAGCCCAAATGGGGGCTCTGCAGCTGAGGTCAGCCCTCTGAGGGCTACCTCTCCTCGGGTACACCAGAGGCAACAGCCCTGCTAATTCTGGGGGAAGGTACGTCACCAGCTCAGTGAGACGCTGCTCTCTGTGGAGCTGCCCCTACCTAGAGCCCATCATTTCTAATGGACTAAGGGAGCTGGTGCCTTTAAATTTCACAGAAAGGGAAGGAAAAGCACTTTAGTTTCAGTCTGTGTTCTCCATTAGACACCCTTCAGGTGTTAGCAATATTATGCCACAATTTCATTATCCATTAAAGCCAGGTAATAATAAGTACACAAAGGTATTTGGAGCCTATTGTTGTTAATGAAAGAGATCAATCTAATTCAGAATGTGTGTGTGGAGAGCTCCTTGGAGATGGAATAGGCCCCAAGGTTAGCCTCTAATTGCCTCTGTGATGGTAGACCCCACCAGCACTCAATTTTGCATGACCGTCTTTATGACATAGTTGGAATTTTGACGCCCAGGCTCCGGCTTCATACCGAAGCCCGTTTTCCTCTTCTCCCAAGCCCCTCTCCGCAGTCCTAATTCAGAAAGAATGGGAAAGTGGCTGCCATCTAAGTAAGATCCTTCCACCCAGCGGGAGTTTCTCAAACCTGGACCATGGCTCAGCGGGATTAGCAGAGTCTGTGATTCTGGGATTACCTGAGTGACCCTGGAAAGACTTCTAGGGCTCTGAATTCATATTCTCTCTCTCTCTCTCTCTCTCTCTCTCTCTCTCTCTCTCTCTCTCTCCCCGCCCCCATCCCCATCTCTCCCACTCTTGAACTGGTGGTGCTCAAAAGGATCTTCTATCAAGTTTATGAGCTGCATTCAATAGATATCTGAACAAAACAACTCTATCCTAAACTAGAAACAAAAATCATGTCAGGAAAGAAGACGGGGCACCTTTCTTTCCCAAATGGCCCCCTGCATTTTCCTGGACGCCCCCTGTGGACCCCCATTCCTGCCTGAATGAGCATTTACTCAGTGTGCGGCTCTGTGGTTGGACTCACTTTCGTTCCCACCGTGTCCAGCCTCTTCTATCCAACGTGAGTTCTTAAATTTTATTCCTACCTCCTCCCCTTCTACCCTCATTCTTTAAAAAACAAAACCAAAACGCCACCATACCGACACCGAATGCCGGCCCTGCTGTTTCTGGGAGTTAGCACCTCCGAGGGGTGTTGGAAGAAACCTCCCCTCCGGTGGCTGCTGGCTCTGGCGCCGGCTGCTCACAGACATCCTCGTAGGCAGGGGGGCTGTGCTCTGGGCCCCCCGGGGCTGCAGCCCCACGCCAGGCTTTGGCAGTACGTGCCCCAGGGCTGGCACATATGATTGTACATTCGCTGGAACTAGCGGGGCAGCCAGAACATTGGATTTGGTTTCGATGGCAACAGTGCACCTCAGGCCCAGGTGACAATGTATTTAGAACAGATCATTGTAGCTCCTGCCTGCCCCACCTGTCCCCAACCCCCTGCTGTCCCTGCCTGGACTGGGACACGGCAGGTGATCAGATTCAGAGAGCGGTGACTCTGCTGCCAGGACCCCAGCAGCCCAATGTCTGAATGGAACTGGGCTCCCAATGTCTCATCATTGGCCACGGGCTGCTGAAGGACACGTGCCTCAGCTGCTACATTCAGAGTAGGATGCGCAGTAGGAAGTCATAGCACCTGAGCCCAGCCACGGTGCACAGAGCAGAAATGGGGAGGCAGGAGCCTGGCAGAGGCCAACGGAGACAGAATTGGGATAGTCACCAAATCTCCTTTAAGCTCCTGAGTCTAGCTCCCTGCCCAACCACAGATCACTGTGCGTCTACTCAGGATTCTTGCTCTAGTCCGTTCTGGAGGGCCAGGGTGGCCGCCAGCCCCGCTAGATCACCCACCTTGGGCCCCGGGCAGAGGGCCTCAGGGCAGAGCTCTCAGAGCCTGAAACCTTATCTCTGCCCGCCTTCAGCCCACCCATCATAGACACTGTGAATGGAGAATAAAGTGCCAGGACCATGGCTCCTGAGACCCGGAAGCCTCTCCTTCCGTACACAATCTTTCACACCGCCGGTCATCGTAGTGCACAGACAGGCCTCAGCCACGGTTGAGATGACAGATTACTATTGAGGGCAAAGGGTGACATGTGTGTACCGATAATGGCTGCCTATGGAGAGAGTGTGTGTGTTTACCTACCCGTTTCCTGCTTTCCCTCGTCTCTCTCCGTGCAGTGTAGGTAATGGCGTGTGCAGCGTTCGCGGGGTGCTTGGTAGGTGCCTGTGTCCCACCTTGCATGTGCTGCTCCCTCACATTTCCCTTTAATGTTCTCCATTATTCGGCTGCATTAATAATGTTTGCGGGCTGATATCTTTAAAATTAATGAGGTGTTTACTCTGAGCCAAGAAACTCATTGAAATTAAAAAAGCTTTCTTTTCTCCACTCCCTTTCCCTCGCTAAAAAAAAAAGTGGACAAAAGAGCCACAATGCAGGCTTTGCTAAAAACCAAGCAGAATAGGCAAGAACCCAGACCCCACCACTGGAAGGTACGAGTTGCGATCAGCCAGTGCCCAGGGTTAAACATGGGCCAGGTTCACACAACAGCTGTCTCTAGAGGGTCTAACTTGACAAGAGCTTTCCTTGAGAGCTGCTGACACCTTTCCACCAATGCAGGGGCATCTGTGCCCCCAATAACAGCTCCTTTCACAGCCGCAATCCCTTAACACGCAATTATCCATTGTAACCATAGCACCTTCGTCTGGTCTGAATTTTCCTTCTTATCCAAAAGGCTTGTTTCCAGGACAATTCATCTTGTGTACCCTGGTCTGTCTGTAGTCTCTATTTTTCAATGGAATCCCTTACCTGACATAAAGGAGGCCCCCTCCTACCACTCCCCAAACTGCACCACCACTGGCTGACTCTGTGCAGGAAAGCAGAGCTGAATACTAACGATGTGAGTCTATCGGTTGCATGGACTTGCTTTTGCTCACACTCAGGATGGTTTGCCAGAAGGGCCAGGGAGGAGAGAATGGCTCTCTGGAGTGCAGAGCAGCAGGCTGCACTGTACTGCACCCCCACCCTTACCCCCCGCCCCCCTCAGCCCTGCTGTACAAATTTCTCTGTGAACAAGGCAACCAAGAGCATTCAGGGTGGCACGTCTGAGCAGTTCGGGTTTTCATCACACCCTTTTAGGGCAGTTGTTCTCTCTGATCCGGAAACCACCAGCGGTCTCTGCGGATCCTGCAGGTGATTTGTTAGCTAATCCCTCCAGATATCCAAGTTAATAATATGGTAATTTTATGCACCTGCATCTGGAATTAATTAATAATTTACTCGACTAAAAACAGGACAATAGCGCTGAAGAGGCACTCTCTCCCAATTGGTTGTTGTGCGTGGGTTTTCTTTGGTTCCTCTCCGTGGGGATTGTAGGTGGCGGTGTTGGTGTGAACTAACAGGCCTGAGCGCCTGCTGTGGTGGCTCATGTCTCTGGAGTCTGAAAACCACTCTCTTTATAGTCACGTGGGGAATGGCTACAGCAGGAGCCCGGGGTCTGCGCCTGCCCCTCTGGCCTCTGAAACGCTGAAAGCCAGTGGACGTCCAGAGCCGGCTGAATCGGCTGGTCCCGAATGATAATGAGAATAAGCAACAGAGTAGAGACCCCTCCGCCCCGCAGAGAAGGCCAAAGAGTGTGGAGAAGTGGGCGGCGGCGACAGGAAGGGAAGGACCTACGTGAAACTGAATCTGCGCGAAATCTCCAGCGCTGCTCTGCAGGATGCTGTAGGCGGAGGACACAGAAAGAAGCTCCCACTCACTGTCATTGGAAAATGCTTTTCTGTCGTGCTTAACGTCTTCCCTGCTCCGCAGGAAGGCCAGGTCTACATCTTCCACTGAGAAGAACAGAAACAGTGGGCACCAACACAAAATCCTTCCTTTCACTCCTGCCCGCCGTGTCCAGCCTTATTGAGATGGAGTTGATATAACCGTGTTGAATTAGGGGTAGAGGTATGGGATAAAATCTTTCCAGCCATGGAAAAAGCATCTATGAATTTAGGGCTTGGATCCCACTATCCATACAGTGATGGAGCTGCCCCTGTGACTTCTATACCATTCCCAGTGGCAATAGAAGGCTAATATTGTCTTCCCAAACAAAGAGCGGCCACTGGGCTGTGCGTCTGGGCCCAGCGCCGCACTTGGTCTGAATTACAGCACGAGCCAAATAACGGCAGGAAGAAATTTAGGTTTGCAAAACGTTAATTATGTGCAAGAATGAAATGGACCTGAAGAGTGGCATAATATCATTACACCGGTGTGTGCCAACAAGCCAGCACAGGCATGTTCCCCCCGAGAAGGCTGTACCCCTCCTGGCTTACCTGTGTGCAGAATGCTGTTGAAGGTTAGGCTGCAATTCTGGATATCAAATGGAAAAGCGTATGTCTCTAAACTGCAGGCAGAGACCACCTGGATGGACTTAGAGTTCCTAATGGTCCCGGATGAGTTCACATACACATAGTGAAGTTCAGGGAGTCTTTCAATGTCCACGCTGTATGAAACGCAAGAGAATTTGTTGTTAGAGAGAGAGCTTTAGTCATTCCAATGCGCAGAAATGATTGTGAGATGGTGGTGACGACGACACCCAGGACTAACCTAGAAGCGCAAGGACAGGGTCACTTTCCCCGAGATGATTCACCCTAGCAAAGATGGATTCAGCAATGACACCTCATAAATTAACTCGCTACTGTTACGATACAAACACACTCCATAAGTAACCTCAAGCATTATCAACCAAATCCATATCTTAAACCTGTGGTTCTCAACCTTCTGGCCCTTTAAGTACAGTTCTTCATGTTGTGACCCAACCATAAAATTATTTTCGTTGCTACTTCATAACTGTAATGTTGCTACTGTTATGAATCGTAATGTAAATATCTGATATGCAGGATGGTCTTAGGTGACCCCTGTGAAAGGGTCGTTTGACCGCCAAAGGGATAGCGACCCATGGGTTGAGAACCGCTGTAAAACAATGTCAACTTATGGTACTTTTAACCTGAATATTCCCAACAATATGCTGGTCTTTAAGTTGAGAAACAAAAAATAGCAACAATGAGTGAATGTAAGCAGAAACTATCCTGAATATTCTAAGACGTCTATACCCCACAGAAATATATCCAAGGCACTTACAATTCATTAATGATGATATCAGGGGCCCAGATGGCACTTAGAGGTAGGGAGATCTGGCTAATATCATCAAACATGCTGGAGTTCCATGATAAAAATTCATCATTCCAAACCTGTTAGGAGTAGCCAGAAAGGAAACTTATCAAAAAGGGGCAATATCAACCTTACCAAAGAACTGAAAAGAGATTTGGAGAAATAACCCAACGGATCAGCCTGTTGGTACTGTTAGGGCAGAGGACTTCCCATCCAACACCAAAAGATGGTAGCCTCAACCAGGAAACATGGCCTCCACTTACATGGATTCTAACAAGTTAGGTTTGCTGCAAATCTAAGGAACTGTAAACACAGAGATAATGTCTATTCCTCAGAGTAATAACATGTTTCAACAGGTCAAGATCGGGAGGGCAGCATGCACAGAAGGAAACAGTCCTTTACCTCACTGTACCAGACATTTGTCTTTAATTTTTGGTTCTGTGCATCCTGCAAAGCACAAAGAAAATACACACCAAATATTAGCATGTCAGCAAATCAAAGCCCAGTTCAACAATACGACAATTCAGAGGAAGAAAATCAAATGTAAATAAATAACGCTGATTTTAGAAACATTATCTTGACTCTTCAAGATCGGAGTATTTTCAGTTCCTATTTATTACATACACCTGTCACTGTGAGCTTTACTATATTGTCTATGACAAAATGGCACTTTGACTGCACTTGACATCTTGAATGATTTGCTAATCTCTTTCCCACTCTAATTAGTTACTCTGCCATTAATCAGACTAAAAAAACGATATGTAGTCGTGGTAAGTTCTGGGCTAAAAGGATGAGACCAAGCTTATATTTGTAATCAAGATATTATTCATGCCTTTCAATGCCTGTGATCTCAGTCACTATTGGCAGCCATTCCTCAGTTACCTTATGTTTGGATTTCCATTCTTATAAATAGACTAAATGAGCATATGCAAATGAGGTATTTTTGATGATATAAATAGATGATTTCCCATGTCTGCAATGAGTCAGTGATTTTTTAATAGACCCCCAAAAAGAACAACCAAAACAAAACCTCCTTACTGATTTTCATATCTAATCTAGTAAAAAAAAAAAACAGTCTAAAACTACTATGTCCTAAGAGATTTAAAAGTTTTATACCATATAAAAATGAACTTGAAATGAATCATAAATCTTAATTTAAAAGCTAAAACTATTAAACCTTTAGAGAAAACACAGGAGTAGTCTTTCATGACTCTGAATTAGGCAATGGCTTCTTAGATATGACACCACAAGAACAAACAACAAAAGAAAAAATAAATGAGACTTTATCAAAAATAAAAGCTTTTGCATTTTAAAGGACATCATCAAGAAGTAAAAAGACAGCTCACAGAATGGAAGAAACTATCTGCAAATTATTTATCTGGTGAGGGCCTTGTATCTAGAATATATAAATAGCTCATAACTCAACAACAATAAAACAGACAACCCAAATTAAAAATGGCCAAAGTGCCAAAGCAATCTTGAGAAAGGAAAATAAAGCTGGAGGCATCATGCTCCCTGATTTCAAACTATATTACAAAGCTATAGTAATTAAAACAGTATGGTATTGGCATAAAAATAGACACATATTTCAGTGGAACCGACTATGGAGCCCAGAAATAAACCCACACATATATGATTAATTAATTTATAATGAAGGAGCCAAGAATATACCGTGGGGAAAGGATAGTCTCTTCAATAAATGGCATTGGGAAAATTGGACAGCCACATGTAAAAGAACGAAACTGGGCCACTATCTTATACCAGTCACAAAAATTAACTCAAAATGGGTTAAAGAATGAAACCATAAAACTCCTATAAGAAAATATAGGTGGTAAGGTCCTTGAAATAGTTCTTGGCAATGATTTTTAAAACCTGACACCAAAAGCAAAAGCAACAAAAGCAAAAATAAACAAGTGGAACAGGACTACATCAAAATTAAAAGTTTTTATACAGCAAAGGAAACCATCAACAAACTGAAAAGACAACCCACTGAATGAAAGAATATAATTATTAAATATATATCTGATATATATCTGATAAATGTCAAATATCCAAAATATATAGAGAATGTATATAACTCAATAACAAAAAACATCTAATTAAAAATGGGCAGAAGATTAGCATAGACATTTTTTCAAAGAAGACACATAGGTACATGAAAAAATGCTCAACATCATTAATCATCAGGTAAATGCCAATCAAAACCACAATGAAATATCACCTCACACCTGTTAAAATTGCTATTATCAAAGGACAAGAAATAACAAGTGTTGACAAGGATGTGGAGAAAAGGGAACCAACCCTTGTACACTGTTGGTGGGACTGCAGATTGGTGCAACCACTATGCAAAACTGAATGGACTTTCCTCAAAAATTAAAAATCAAACTATCCTATTGCCCAGCAATTCCACTTCTGGGTATTTATTCAAAGAAAATGAAAACATTAATTCAAAAATATATGTGCACCCCCATGTTTATTGCAGCATTTATTTACAATAGTCAATTTGTGAAAACAACTTAAGTGTTAACCAATGGATGAATGGATAAAAAATTGTGTTACATATATAATGGAATATTATTCCACCATAAAAGAATAAAATCATGCCATTTGTAACAACATGGATGAACCCTGAGTGTATTATGCTAAGTTATAAATTAGACAGAGAAAGACAAATACCATATGATGCCTCTTATATGTGGAACCTAACAATAAAAAACAGCAACAACAAAATCCAAGTTTATAGATAAAGAGAACAGATTGGTGGTTGCAAGAGGTAGAGAGTGGGAGGTGTTTTGTTTTTAGTTTTATTAAATTAAAATGTAAAATATTTTTAAAAGAAAACAAAAGAACAACTTGATTTTCAATCATAATAAATGTTTAAGGGCTTTGCAAGCACTCTAAGTCATTGATTGTAAGTAGCTACTTACAATACAACATTAGCTTTCCAAATGATATTCAAATGATAATTAAATTTGACCATAAACAATATAACAATTTGAAGAGAAAGCTTTGTAGTAAAAATAATCTGAAATTTTGTATTTCATAAGAAAATTTCAACATTCAAAATAAAGCACACAAAAGAATATCTACAAAGGCTTTGAAGGCTATGTGCTTTATGTAATGTTTATTGGCTTCATGGTTAAATACACAATTCCAACTGGTTTCTTTTTAACTGTAAGGACAAAATTTAATTTCTCTATGAGAAAATACCTTACAGAAAAAAATGGACAAAGGACTGAATAGACATTTCTCCAAAGAATATATGTAGTCATACGCTGGTAATAACTGGGTAATTTCTGAGAAATGTGTCATTAGGTGATTTTATCATAGTGCAAACATCATAGAGTGCGCTTACACAAACATAGGTGGTATAGCATGCTACACACCTAGGCTTATAATATAGACTATTGGTCCTAGACTACAGCCTGTCCAGCGTGTTACTATACAAAATAACAGGAGAATAAATCAAACACAAGAGGAAATGATGCAATCAAATGCAGTAAACATGAGATGTATGAGGCTGCTGCCGGCATAACACAGCATAACACAGTTTTACTGCAAACTTTTTTATAAGTAGAAAGAGTATACTTTAAAATAACAATAAAAAGTATATATAGTAAATATATAAACCAGCAACATAGTTGTTTATTATCATTGTCAAGTATTATGTACTCTACATATTGTATGTGCTATACTTTTATACGACTCAGTGCAGTAAGTTTATTTACACCAGCATCATCACAGACACGTGAGTAATGGGTTGTGCTATGATATTACTAGGCGAGAAAAAATTTTCAGCTCCCATTATAATCTTACTAGTAGCCCTGCACACGAATCCTTGTGCCAGTAGTTTGCCAGTAGCTTGCTGCCGCCCTCCAGTAGCTCTCTGCCCGCTACCCCGCCCTCCTGTAGCTCCTCCCACCCCCCACCCCCGCCACCCCTCATACTGTAGCTCTCTGCCGCCCTGCTTGTACTCGCTGCCCCACCCTCCTGCTGATCCGTGATCCAGTTGTTATCGTAATGACCATTTGCATATTACATCTTTATTATATAGGATGGGACCACCACCATCCATGCAGTCCATCATTGACCAAAAGATTGTTATGCAGCACGTGACTATACAAATGGCTAATAAGCACATGAGAAGATGATTAACGTCACTACTATAGACCAAATTGTGTCCCTCCAAAGTTCCTGTGACTATTTGGAGATAGGGCTTTAGGAGGTAATGAGGTTAAATAAGGTCATAGGATAAGGCCCTAACCCAATAAGATTAGTGGCTTTAGAGAAGAGAAAGAGAGAAAGATCTCTCTCTCCTCCACGTGAGGACACAGTGATAAGGCAGCCATCTACAAGCCGGGAAGACAACTCTAACCAGGAACAAAATTGGTTAGAATTTTGATCTTGGGACTTCCCAGCCTCCTGTTGTTTAAGCCACCCAGTCTATGATATTTGTTACAGCAGTCTGATTGACTAATCCATGTATAAAAATTGCATTCTTAGAACAAGAAAAAGAGAAATGGAAAAGTCAAGCAGAAGATGTGAAATAAAATGTGTAAAACGTTTCCCTTGATGATTTAGGTCCAGAGCTGAGGAGTTATTTAGATATCTTTTGTATTTGTGTAGTATTTAGTAAAATATCAAATTTTAATGAAATAATAGAGTTTGGGGGACTGGTGTCAAAAAGCAAATAGCAACTCAATTTTCCTCCTAGAACAGGATATATTAAACACATTATCCAACCACATCAAAAATGTATAATTTTTGTACACAGGTCAAGACCACTACTCTCTTCAGTCTATGTTTGGTAGGTGATAGGGACATACCATTGCTGTTGAGTCCATGCAGGTGGTGTACCTGGAATTGTGCAGTACACAGGCTATACAGACATACACAGGTTGGCATCATTTGGAAGAGAAACAATGAACTTTTTAGATTAAAGCTCCCCCTTTTTGCAATCAAGAAAGCAAGTTGCTAATGAATAGGCATTTTTAGGCATCTTGAGAAAGAAGAAAGGATTGTGAGCAGATATGCGGTAGCCCTGTTTTATGGGTCTTGACAGGGTCTAGCCTGAGTGAACTTGCTGTACAGATTTTTGTGGACTTCCGAATGGATACTTGGAAAAGGCCGGTTTTAAAGTAGTATACAAAGTGAAAAAACTGAATTCACAAGGTTTTCCACAAGGAACAGCTTGGAGGAGAAACAGAGGGGATGCCCAGCCAAGATCAGCAATGCATGGGGCCTGGTAGTAAAAAACAAAAACAAAACCCTCTGTTGAGAGCTCAAGGTTAGGTGACTCCACTTCCTTCCAGTCTTACCAGCTGAGAGACCCTGAAATTAGTCATGTCTCACCCAGGAAAGCACAAAAGCCTCTAGGCTTAGTTGCAATCAACAAGGGTTCCCCACTAACAGGGGAAAAAACAAGTCCAAGTGCAGTTCATTTCACT